TCCTGGCTCCAGTTCAGATTCCTCAGCCTGCTGGCACAGACCTTCATCCTGCTGGTGCAGGCTTTCTAGCTTCCACTACTGACCTTTGAGCCTTATCAGTACAGATCCTTGATACAGATTTGCATGAGATGTGGTTGTGGGCTCTAGGCCTCCAGCGGGACTCGTGGAGGCTGTTTCCCTGGGTTCAGCTGGACTCTTGCAAGGCATTGCTGTGGGGTCCAGGACCTTAGCTAGATTCTTTGGTTCTATAGTGTGTGGCCAGCTCTCCCATACTCCTTTTCATTTGGCTCTGGGTGAATAGTATAAAATAATCTTATAAATTACATGTCCTGTATTAAATCTGTTCCCTTACAGCCCTGCTGGGTCTCTTAGTCTCTTCTTCTTCAGAGTATCTATTCATTACATTGTGCATTATATAATCTGTTCCCATAAACTGTTTATAAATTCTCCACATGTGTGAATCTCTCATGTATATCTATCCTTTCTGTATTATAGGGGAAAACAGATCAAAACAAGATTACCAAACAAATTCCTAGAAAAACATGAAATAAAAAAACATATAAAATCACAATATTAGGTGGTCTACGGTAGTTGCTATGCTCTCTCTTGTTATTTTCAATAGAATTGTCTACACCATCAGACATAATATAATTGAACATAGCATTACATAGCAATTTTAATAAAAATACAACATTGGAGACATTGTAGGACTTCAAAAGCAGTTAATAATCAAACTAGAATGGGTATCTTATTACATGTTGTCATCTTCAGAGTATGTTGCCTCTACTCTTAGACTTGATACTATCAAGCATTCCAAATTTGAATAAAATCAGTCAAGACAAAACAGCATTCTAACAAACCAGCTTCAAATAAGATCAGTCATAGTAAGACAATGTAAGTAATACAGGGCTTCAGGTTAAGTTAATAGAGAATTAAAGATATTTACTATAGTATATCTTGCTATTTTTGGGATAGCTGACTGTGCCTTCAAATCTAGTATGAGTAGACAGACTGCAACAAAATAAAATCAAACTAAACAGAGTGATGAGACTAATGTGGCTTTTAAATACTGATATACTATTAACAATGTCCCCTTCCTGCCTTTTTAAGGCAATTCCTACCCTTTCCCTTTCTCTGGGTGCTTTGTATATTTTGGGTCCCACTAACTAGTTTTTAGATTTGGGCAGGGGAGGGGGGACCCATTATCTATCTAAGTGGTATTGAACCTTTTTACCCCTGAGCTTGAAGTTGAGCTGTATTTCTTTATTTACTAAGGCCCCAAGGTTTTCCTTCCTTATAGCTGAGTAGTTCTCCACTGCACAAAAGTGTCATGACTTTCCGACCTATCTGCAGCTGCTGGATGAGTTGTCTCTATTTCTCTCTGGTTCCCTGTCATATAGAGCATTGTTTTCCCATCTTTGACTTTCAGTTTATTAACCCTTTTTCAGGTTGAGTATATTTCCTATTCAGAGCATCTTGATGAATCCTGCCTCCTAATCTACTCTGCCTGTGTTTCTTTTTGTTAGTGTATCAAGGCCATCTATATTAGAGATTATAGCTTACCTTCTCTGCCTCATCTCTGCTATTTTATTTTTCTGATATTATTTGTCCACTTTCCTCCTTCATTCCACTGTCTGCCCTACTCATTGAGGCCTCTCTGCCACTGTTGCTGGAATCCTGGTATTTTTTTTTCTATCTCTCTCTAGAATGTCTTTCAATATTTTTTGTAGGGTTGGATTGGTGGCCACGAACTCCCATAGTTCCTCCTTGTCTTGGAAACACCTTGTTTCTTTATTAATTTTGAGAGAGAGTTTTTCAATCTGGGTTGGAGGTTGTTTTCTTTCAGGGTTTGGATTACTTCACTCCAGGCTCTTCTTGATTTGATAGTTTGTGTTGAGAAGTGTGTCATTATTTTGATGGATTTTCTTTTATAGATGATCTGCTTCTTTTCTCTGACTGCTTTTAATATTCTGTTCTTGTGGTGAATTTCTTGGATCTTGATTATTATATGTCTGGGTGTAGATCTGTTTTGGTTGTAGTTGGTTGGAGTTCTGTATGCCTCATTTATCTGGAAATCATTTCTTTTTCCTATGCTTGGGAAGTTTTCCTTAATTATTTCTGTGAATAGTCTTTGTAGTTCATTTGTGGTTTCTCCTGCTTCCTTGCTCATGTTTTTTATTCTTAAGTTATAGATCCTCTTGTCATCTTCTTGCCTTTGAATTGTTACTTCCTGGTTCCTTGTTATTTTTTAAGAGGTCTTTTCTTTCATGATCACACATTGCAACTCTATCTTCAAGTTTTAAAAGGCTAACTTTAGTTTCTGTCAAGGCATTTTGCCAGCTTTCAATGGAGTTTTTAATTTCCTGGTAATCTCTTTGGATCTGTTTCATGTATTCTAGATTTTGTTTATATTCTTCACCAAAGGTTTCTTTTCCTTTTCTGGGTTCCTCCATTCTTACATCTGTGTCTTCTTGAGAGTGGCTTAGTATTTCTTTTATTAATCTTTTTATATCTTGCCTCACTTGGATTAGAATTTCAGTTTTAAATTTGTCTATGAGGTCATGAAAGTAGTTTTTAATGTCTGTTGATGTTATGGCCAATATTGCATGATTGCTGCACTGGTTCTCTTCTGTGTTTACCTCTCCTGGACTTATTTTTCCCAGGGTCAGTGGCTGGAGGGTTTTTCTTGTTTCTTTCTCTTGTCATGTTTCTGGTTTCTTTCAGACAGGTGCATGGTCTCAGGCCCTGTCCGTATTGCTTATGGTTTTTCTGAAGTGTGCTGGCTGGAAGCTTGTTGCCTTCTGCAGTTTGCTGTTATCTGAAGTGCACCCAGGGACAAGGTGGGCTGGCCCCTCTCTGCTGGGCCAGTCAACCAGCGAGTGCCTTCAGCAACTTAGGCTGTGCTGTGGTGGACATCACAGGGTTGGGACAGTTTTGTCCTTGGCTTTGTATTGGGTCCTGACCAGGGGCGTGACTCAGCCCAAGCTGATCCCACCAGTCCTCTCTGGGGCAGGGGCGGCTGGCTGATGCCACCACAGTGCCGAACTCAGGTGTGTCCTGCCCACCTCCAATGTGTCTTCCAGCTGGCCACACACACCGAGGGACCAAATTTCCAGCACTCATTGTGAATTAATGCAGTCCCCCACCTTGGCTCCACTCCACACTGTGCTGTATCCTCCCACCAAAGGCCTGGAACTCACCAACTCTTGTTATTGGTGGCTGTAGCTTCAGCGCGACCATAAATCATCCGACTCCAGGGCGCACCCAGCACAGTGCGGGACCAGTCTCAATGAGCGTATCCGGGTCCAGCCCTCCACCTGCGTTTTTCCTTTCTCTTCCCCCTTTTCTATTTCCTCAGTTTCCTCCTGGGTCACAAGAATCCCTCTCCCCTCGTCCGGCCCTCTCCATGTCAAATTCCAGCATCTGAGCTGTTTTTCCCAGAGAGGCTCTCTACACAGCTACCTATCAAGCCACCATCTTCTTGTCTCTCCAAGGAACTCACAGACCTTAGCTTGATAGGGATATAAATGATTTCTGTCCATTACAGATTACATCAACAGTTTACAGTTTTATCACTCCTTTGGGCTGTATCCTAACAAGCTTAGCAAAGTTATTTTGGCATATATTCCCTTATGTATAAATATCGTTTCCTCAAATACTCATCCAGTGTTATACCTGTTAGTTTCCTCATTAATGAATCAAGTCATGGACATTCTATATTTGTGTAGGAGTTGTTTTAACATCTTGAAACTATTCTTTGAGAACTATCATCTATTATGACATGGTCACTGTTACCATTTCTTTAAAGGTGAATAATGTAGTGGGCTGTTCTCTGGCCTCCTTGTCTCAAAGGCTTAGGTTGAAAGCCTAACTCTACTACTGTTTAGTTTTCCTGGTCAAGTTACTCAGCCTGAGTTCCTGCATCTATGAAACGAAGCGAGTAATACCCAGGTTCCTGGGCTATGTGTAGCCTTCCCATGTAGCCTTCAGGAATTGTCCTTCTGGACTAGCAAACAGAGATGGGGCTACTCAGACGTCACATCACACTGGAGGCTGATCATAGATGCTCAGGCTGGGCTGCCTGCATGTTATCTATAGGTAATTTTCCCTACTCTGCACACCTCCTCTCTCCACCACCAGGGCGAAGAGTGATAATGACGTGAGCTGTGTTCATGCCTCAAGAGTCAATGTGCAAGGGATTTTTCTGTTTTATTATGAACAAGTGGTATCACTTAATGACTCTTTATATTAAGTGTTGCATGCTACTTATTTATTTTTGGGGTGCTATGGATCAAACCCAGGGCCTCATGCATGGAAGGCAAGAGCTCTACCACTGAGCCACATCCCCAGCCATTTGGATGCTTTAAACATATTTACTCTCTACTTTGACTCTATGAGATGAATAGTAGCATATTCACTTTACAGACAAGAAACATTTACTCAGTGGTAAGGTAACTTGCCACGGCACACACACCTGCTGAAGCTGGATTCCAAGCAGTGTCTGGCAGCACCCCAGATTCACATTTCCTCTCTCATATTGAGCCTTCTGTTTTCAGAAAGTATCACTCATCACATGGAGGACAGCAAGATGAGTAAGAGGCAGTGCGTACTCTGTAGGGGCTCATCCTTTAGTTATGGGAGGTGAAGCAGCAGTAGTGGATACTGTTTATTTCGTGGCTGTGACCTGAAGGCATGTGATCTCACTCGCTTCTCACCTGGGTCTGGCAAGGGAGGTGACAATCTGTGTTTCCTGGGTAACAAAACAGTTCCTGGAGATGAAGTAACTTAGCTTGGGTCACACAGCTATGATGACTCAACTCTGGCCTGTGAGTTCTCTCACTGAAGGCCCCCTGTACTAGACACAGACGGACACACAGTGGCGAAAGGTAGCAAACATTCAGTCCTGTACACAGGTGGCAGATAACCCAGGATGAGCTTGATGAGCACCGCGTGGGCTGATGGAAAACGGCTGCAGTCAATTTAGTCAATGTTGATTAAGCAGCTTCTGTGGGCCGCATACTGTGTGCATGGCTCGGGGAGCCACGGTGAGGCCTCTGAACTCACTGTGGAGAGCAAGGGACAGATGGGTAAACAGGCAATTATGACCCAGCAGGGTAAGTGACACACCGGAGGGTACAACGGGTGCATGGCAACGTGTGGGCTGGGAGAGCAGGGAAGGTTTCTGACCTGAAGCTTTGCCCCAAAATCCAAGTTTCATTCCCCTGCCACCTGGAAAGTATAGTGTGTTCTCAGGGTTGGACCTCTTGGTTTTCAAGGCACACCATCGGCTCCAAGAAGCCATCTGTGTTTGACTTGCTAATGTTTTTCTTGGGTTAGTAGATTTAATTTTTGAAATCATATTTTCTTAGGCTGATTTGAAAATTAGTTTTCACTGCAAACCAGTGATGTGCTGAAGTGGTTCAAAAGCATGTTGAGATACCAGGGTTAATAAGCCTTGGAATGGAAACAAATTACAGTAGGTAATGTGCAAGACTGCATATTGTGTACACAAAAGATTTCGAGGTAAGAATATTCATTTGTAGGGCTCCCCATGGATCCTTGATATGCTCTTCACCTGGGTTGGAAGTTGCTTAGATGTATGGGTGGGTTTCTATAGGCTATTCTGCTTATGAAATCTGTAAAGTAACCTATGTTTAAAACTTATTTTTTCTCATCTGTCCTAATACCTGCAAAGAGTGAAACATTCCAAGAGTGTAAAATTTTTTTCTTTCCATTCTTGAAAAGCAGCTTTTATTATCTTTGTATAATATTATGTATTCTTGCAGAGATACTGTATGTCTATACATGAGTGTGTGCGTAGATATGAATAAACAAATGTATATAGGAGGTGATTGAAAATAATTATATTCAAATAAAAATTTTAGTACAATAAAAGACACTGTTATTAATACTCCTCAGAATACGCCGTCTTACTTCCAATGCACTCAGCACATTGTTCTTGCCACTTTCGGAAGCTGTTCGGGAAGTTTTTTATTTTTATTTTTGTGAGTGTCTATAAGTTGCGTTGTCACTGAATTGATTCAAAACATTTACCTGTCATGGTCATTTTGACCTCGGGGGACAGCCAGATATTGCAGGCATGAATAAAGTGGATAAAGACACGTCGATAGGTTATTCTGAGCCTGCCTTTCCACTGGATAGTACTGGGTTTTTGGTCACTTGTGAAGACACTCAGGAAGGAAGACTTCTGGAACTGCTTCAGAAAGTGGTGGGAATGATGGGATCATTGTCTTGGAAGTAAGAAGGAGTATTTTGAGGGCAATTAATAATATGTCCTTTACTATAACAGTAAATGTTTCAGTTACTCACTGTATTTTTGATAGCCCCATTTATAAAAACACATACCCCATTATTGTTGTCTTTTACATAAACACAGCATATTATACTGTCTTGTACTTTGCTTTTGCCCCCATTTAACTAAAACATCTTGATGATTACCTGTTTTGTTGTAGCACCTATACACCTACACAAGCCTTTTCTGTGGCCATTTCATGTTCTGTGGACACATTTTAACTAGATTTCTTTTGATATGATTTTCATATGTTCTTGGCCTTTAGTTATCTGGAAAAACACTGCAAAAGAGAATCCTTATACATACACATTTTGCCCAGGTGTGACTTTATCCTCTTGAGTACATTCCTAAAAGTGGAATCTTCAAATAAAATGGCGTATTTTTATTTTGCTTGAAATTGCCCAATGCCACCCAAAATTGGGCTACTGATTTATCAAGATGGAAAGATATGTGTTACAAAAGAAAGAAAGAAAGAAAGAAAGAAAGAAAGAAAGAAGAAAGATGTCTGTTTCTTTATATATTCTGTGAGTGGTTTGATATCTTCCAGGACACATTGCAATAATGAAAACAGAGGTTTTGTCTGAAAAGTTTTGAGTGGAGTTTAGGTTCAAGAGGCTGTGAATTGACCTGCAAAACCACCCAATCAGCTCCGAGCAGATACATGTCAGCATGTTTTAGCTGAAACCCTTCCTTTTTGGGTTTTCTAGATATACGATTACGTTTTTAAAAATTTTACTTTGTACTAGAGATTGAATAGGACCTTTCCATTATATCTTCAGCCTTATTTTTATTTTTTATTTTGAGACAGGGTCTTGCTAAGTCATAAAGTTGCCCAGGCTGGACTCAAACTTGCTGTCCTCCTGCTTCAGCCTCCCAGAGTTCTAGAATTACAGACAGGTGCTTCCATGCCAGGCAGGAATACTTCTTTATGTCCTTGGACTGGTTTTATTTTTCCTTTTTTAATTTGGAAATTATAGCTGGATACTTGATGTTTGTGCTTCCTAGAAGGGGCTGTTTTGATCCCACCTGTGCCCCTAGTTGTTTGCTTCTTCGAAGTTTACTTGCAGTCTTTGTATTAGACCTGGCCACCAAGTGTTGTGTCTCTGCATTTCCACTGGCCTTTCCTAGCAGGTCTTGAGTGGGTGACCTTATCACTCTAGGAGGCAAACATACACTGTATGATCTGCCCAGCTCAATATCCTTTTCCTTAAATGTTAGATGGATTTATATTATTGCTGTAGGGAGCAGTGATCCGGGGAGGAATTAGTGCTCGGAGAGGGCTGTGGTCTTTTTAAAATGGCAACAAGAGAAAAATATATACTTTTCCAAAGCCACGGACCATGGTCTCATCTAGACTTCCTTCTTTATGCCACTTCTCAAGTCATTTGGCTATTTGAATGTCCTTTACATTCAAGTTTCTGAGGTGCTGAGGTTCTAGAATATATGGTACCACCACATCTGTCTTAGTGACTTTTAGTGTGGAGAAGGGAGAGTTCACATACAGAAGGCTCTGAACTAGGCTTCTGTCCTAACAGTGCTGGGAGCTGCCACACTGGAGTCCACTGGATGTGAGATTTTGAAGGGGTTTCTCCTTCTGGAGGTTCCTGGGAAGGTGCTGTGAACTGTGGCAGTCAAGCTCACCTCTGAGTTTGGTCAGTTTCCAGGAAGGAACGACTGTTGTGATCCAGATGTTTTCCTTCACTAGAGTGCTTTGCTCTGCCTGGCAGGGGTGTTTTTAAACAGATGCATGCAAGTGAAAATTAGGGGGGTGGTACCACTGGGGAGGAGGTGAACAGAGTTGAGGCTTAGATGATTCACAGTGGGTTGGTTTGTCTCACTGCCGTGTCCTAGCTGTGTAACTTCTATCAAAAGGGCCTAAGCCTTTAATAATGTGACAGCAGATCAAGGTAAGCTGTGCCTGCTTACCTTGATCTGAAGATTACCAGATGGATTTTTAAAAAGTTGGTATTGGAGATTGAACCCAGGGTTTTCGCAATGAGCTACATTCCCAGTCCTTTAAAAAATTTTTTTTCTTTTTAGAGTCAGGGTCTCACTAAGTCACTAAATTTTCCCAGATGGCTTTGAACTTTTGATCTTCCTGTTTTAGCTTCCCAGCACGCTGTGATAAGAGGCGTGTGCTGCCACACCTGGCTTGGAAAGGCGTTTATTGACGCTGTGCGTTGAACGTATCGAGTGATTTACCTATGTTACGTTACTTAATTCTCAAAACTAACCTCTGCAGTGAGCACTGTCATTTCTACTGTACAGATGGGGAAGGAGATGTTTGGAGAGACTGAGAAATTGAATCGAGGTTGCAGAGCTTACATAGCAGGTGGTGGTCAGGCCAGGGTGCAGCCCTCAGTGATTAAAGGAGGCTGGATGTGACGTTCAGCTCTTTCCACTGAGTACTGGGCCCTCTGTGACCCTAGGGCTTCAAATGGAGTCGATTTTGCTCTTCAGGAGGTGTTTGAAAATGCCACAATTCAGGGAAACTGGTAAACCAGTGGTCTCTAGTGGGCTGTGGTCACAGATACCACTAAACATCCCATAATGCACAGGCGAGGCCCCAGCCAAGAATGAGCCACACCTGACGTAAGAGGCGCTAAGGTTGAGAAACCCCAGGTTAACCTACATGCCCCAATATTTTTAAAAAGTAAGACACAACAAGGGCAACCCTTTCCTGACCCATTTTTTTCCTCCGTAGTACTTGTCACCCTCCTAGAGATGGCAAAAATTTATCTACTATCTTTATATTTTATGATGTCTCTATTCATCAGAAGGTAAACTTCCCAGGGTTGGCAACCTTTGCATTTTCAGTTTCTAAAGTGCTTAGAGTGAAATTTACACATGGTGGGTGCACAATAAATATTTATTATACAAACAAGTGAATGTAAGAATAAGTTCATGGTATCAATTTGCGGTCGCTGACGATGGAGAAAGGTGGCAATAAATTTGGAGCCGAGGATGAGAGGATGGTGGTTGGGCAAGATTCCCGCCAGAGCCGCTGCCCAGAAGGCTACCGTGCAAAGCTCCTGCGGCTCAGAATGTCTATATGTGACTCTCTGAATTAAGAAGTGCTGAGTCCCAGTGCAGCCTGCCTGTGTCCTACAACCAGTGGACGCAGTGCCCTGTATTTCATTTCCCAGACTTTGAAAGCATGTGTTTTCCCACAGTACTGCTGGCTTCCCTATGGAAGTCCCCATAGTTTCTTCAGGTTAAAGAGTGCTTTTCAAATTAATTCAGAGAGACAAGTTACTTTTTAAAGAGGGGGAAAGTATCTTCCTCAAAGAGACCTGTAGTGGAAAAAAATGCTTTTAAGGAACTTTCTAAAATTCAAATGCATCTGCAGCATGGGTTCCCCATGATCACACCTGCTATTGTGCTTAATGGAAATGAAGAATGAATCTCTCCTAGAGGATACTTTCTAGGCTCATGACTGACCAGGGTGGGATGTGGTGCATAATTAACATAAAGAAAAATCTACCCTGTAATAATCATTTCAAGTTCTTATTTGTAAAATTAGAATGATAAAGTCTAGGAACTGGCTCTAGAGTTTCCTTGGGAAAGGGAAGGATCTCATTTTTAGAAAAAGATTGGAAGCTGACTCTAGGCATAGGGAAGGCAGATGCTGTCTTCCTGGTGTGGAGTAAGATAGCAAAGCAAATATTCTGTATTAAAAATGCACAGATTTAGAAAGAAGAGAAAGAGGTGCAGGAAACGGAGTAACCATGGGTTGGATGGCGTCACTATTGCTGTGATAGAATTCTCCCCCTCCATCAGCCTGAACTTGCTGTAAGTGCA